AAATAAAATTATACTAAAAAACTAATTTCGTTGTTTTTTTTAATTACCTTATTAAAAATGTCTTTTTCAATAGTATCGGGGTCGCGGGTCACTTGGCTTTTATAAAAAGGGGTCGCCACCCGAAAAAGGTTGGGAACCGTTGATCTAGACTCATAAACTGTACGTCGTATAAGGATGTGCCACAGCCTGTATTTGAGCATATTTAAAACTTTTAAGCTTAAACTATTTATAGAATGGTTTTTCAGTTTTACAGTTCCTGATGAGGGCCGATAAAGTAGAATGTTAGAATAAAGTAGAGGGCCAAAAATGTTAGAAGATTGAATTTCTTTGCTGGAAATATTGAATTGAGGTGTAATTCTTATCTTCATGTGCAGTTCCAGTTTTCTGGTACAGTTGGTGTTTATTGTCTTAATCCTGAAGATAAAACAACTTCTCTCAGAATCACTGGGAAGGATAGTCAACACATGAGATAATCATAATCACAACCATAATCATAGTCGAAAATGTTAGTTTTAATTAAAATTTGTTGATACTGAGATACTCTCACTTCCTCAGCAGTTTATTTACAAATATAATCAAACACCAATCAATTTGCTGAGCTTATTATTTATTTACTTGAAACGTTTTCAGCCTACTTCTAATAGGCCATCCTCAAGACATTACCATTCTACTATTGAATACAAAACTTTTCTTATTTACAAATATAATCAAACACCAATCAATTTGCTGAGCTTATTATTTATTTAGAAAAGTTTTGTATTCGATAGTAGAACGGTAATGTCTTAAGGATGGCCTATTAGAAGTAGGCTGAAAACGTTTGAACTAAATAAATAATAAGCTCAGCAAATTGATTGATACTGAGATATAATAAGGTTCTCATGGGTTAATCATGAAGATATTACGCATGGGAGATGTTTGACGGAGCTAGTCAAGAAAGTGATGGAATATGACTTTGATCCTCTTTGGTTCCAACTTTTGCTGGTAAAATTGCTATGGGGATAGGAGAATCTTGTTAATTTGGGACTTTTTATTTATTACATCAATGTTCCCATGTAATGCCTCCATATTTGATATTCCAGAGCTATGGATTGCACTGTTCAACTTGCTAAAATAGTAGATCATGCAATTATGTGATAAGAGCATACTGGTGACAGTGTTAATGTTTTGTTTAAATTTTCTTTATATTTGTGTCAATTATTTTAAAGAATAATTAAAAAATCAAGAAATTGAATAAGATACTTTCTTTCAAAATATTTTTCAAAAAAGGACAAACAAAAACATAGTAAATTAAATCATTTCAAATACATAAAAAATTTCAACCCATGGAGGAAATGGGTTAAGATTTCTTGGAAGATATTGCAGTAAACTTGTTATTGGTTTTAGCAAAAATTCAGGTGGAGAGATTAAATATGAAATAATAGATGTTTATAGAACTTCTTAGTTTATAGCATATGATGATGATGATGATGATCAACTAAAGTTTCTATTTTTGATTTTTGCAGGTTAGTGTCTGGAGCTGGAGACATCAAAATAACAAAAGATGGAAATGTTCTTTTACATGAAATGGTAAATATAATGCATATTACTGATTATTTGCACTTATATACATTATTATTATTATTTTCTTTTTTTCTACCCTCTGGATAATAAGATTTTTTTTATATCTGCTATGGTGAGGGATAGAGCTTGTCATATTCAGAACAGATTGCCTATTAAAAATTCCTGGGGCTGCACACAGCTTCCATCCTTAGTCTCCAGAGCAATAAGCTAATATCTTTTTTGTCTTGGTCATCAAGCCATAATTTATCAGTATCTGTAATTATTTTTCAATATTTTTACAGATGAATGTAATTAAAACTGCAAATGCTGACATATTATTATTCTTTAGATGTAGAATGCGAGTCAGTATAGCTTTAACTGCATCATTTTTTTATAACATAGTATCAATTACAGAAAGTCTGGCCTAAATTTTGATCAAACAATACTATACTTTCTAATCTTTATCTTTAGGTAGCTAAATTCTATACTATAGAAACTGCAGACACATTTTTTTCAACTTTAGAATGAAGAGAAATTTTACGGCTTAGTTTAGTTAAAATTTCTTCCTAAAATATAGATTTGATAGAGTATTTACTTTGCTTTTCTTTCAAGCTTGAATTCATTTCTAAATCATTGAATTCAAGCTATCTAAATTGTTACATTGAAAAAGCAGTTAGTCTTAGCTGAGAAGAATTGCTGTTGCACATGTATCATTTCTGTGTGTCATCCTCACTTGCTGTATTTCCAACTCAGACCAATTAATCTCAGAAGAGAATTGAAATGAATTGTAATCTTGAAGTTTGCTTTGTTCAAAGGCTTGCTGAATTTGAAATTGTTTACTATCATAATTTCCTGCAGAAAAGTACATAGAATATTTCCTCAATTCAAATACTCAGATTTTGATTTTAAATTCGTGGTAAGCTTTTTTTTTATGAAAGGAAAAATTTTAAATAATTAGTTTTATTAAATTTTGTTAGTAACAAGTTAAGAAAAGCAATACAAATGCTGTGAACAAGTAGTTTGGTTGCCATTTCCATTCCTGCATACACTAACTTTTAATGCTGTATCACATTGTCATCTTGAAGGTATTTTAAACATTAAGTTAAACTCCATTTTAATGATTAAATTAAACACTTGTTATCAACAAAGCTTATTTGAATTGAAATTGTTGAGTAGCATAATTAAAAATATCTATTGAAGCATGAAATAACATCATGTGGTCCACTAACAATGACTTCTGATTGTTTTAAATATGAATGTAAAATGTCATCAATTCTAAGATGCCTTTCTGTTTCAGGCAATTAAAAATGGCAGAACTGAGGAAATATGATAATTTTGAGAAAAATAATATTAATTACATATTTTAATTACGAGCAAATTTAAGGCAAACAAATATTTCTGTTGCATGTGATATAATTTAGTACTTTGACCAGTTACTTGTTTACCGCTTATAACAATTATGAAAGTGTAACGAAAGTATCCTTTTAAATTACTCTTCTGTCATAATTTCTACAGGCTTATGTTGCATATTATGAATGAACAAATTTTATAAAGCTATAATCATCCGGGGTGGCTATATTGAGCAAATTTCTATTAAATAAAAGTGAAATTTTGAATAATTCTCCATTGTCAACTATTGGTCATGTTAAAAGTCACATCTTAGATCTGATCAGAGGCTCAACTTGCAGTTTGGATATAGGAGGGAAAACTTTGGGCAAGAGAAATGAAATGCGAAGTTTTGAAAAGATTAAATAGTCAAAATGAAATATAAAAACAACTGTTACATTAAAAGCTGGGTATTCACATGAGTGATTTTGCCATGTGATTTGAATGCTTTCAGTGTTGCATATCATTGACCTAGAAAAAATGAGTATCTAAATTGTGCAGTTGGATACAAATTACCCTCAAATTGGATGCAACCAATTAGCATAAATAAGATGATTTGACATCATTTTCTACAGAATGGCTCAATGGATGAATATACTAACAGAAATTAATAGATGTAGTTTACAATTTTCTGAAAATATTAGATAAAAGGAATGAAAATTATAAAGATGGTAAATGATTAAAATAGTAAATCAATGTTTTTTTTTTTCTTTGAGTATTTCAGTAAGCTGATTGTGTCATCCTCATCCATCTTTGTTATATTTTCCTTTTCTGCCAGATAGCATAGAAATTAACTGTGAATCATGTACTGAATATCTACTCTAAATCATTATTTCATATGATTATGTGCTGGTTTGGCACAGTGAAATCACTCATGCGCTTACCCAGCTTAAAGCATTTTTAAAATATACTTAAAATATTACATTAAAATTTTCTGTATAAATATACTTCACTTTTCATGAATTTTTAGGAAAATTGATTCTTTTAATAATGAATACTGTAAAAAAAAACCTGACATGCAGTAATTTGTTCTGAAGGTGGCCTAGACATAGGAATTTGTTCTGTAAAAACAAAAATATAAAACAAAGTATAGACAAACAATCAAGAAATATAAAACCTTATTGAATATATTCCAAATATTAATTTAGTTAACTTATCTCCTTGTTTTCAGCAAATTCAACATCCAACAGCTTCGTTAATTGCTCGAGTATCTACTGCTCAAAATGATATTGTAGGAGATGGAACAACATCTACGGTGTTGATCATAGGAGAATTACTTAAACAAGCAGATATGTATATTTCTGAGGTAAGTCATTGAAATATATTTTGTGACAGAAAATTATTTCTGTTATACTATAATTTGTATTTCTCATTCTCAGTTTAAACATTTATATAGCAGTAGAGCATCAATTAACCGAAAGCGTTTCAGTCAGCAAATTCAAATTTCCGTTAGTGCTGTGGCACTGCAATATTTGCCTATGTCTTGGGCTACTCCAATATTATTTTTGTTGGTGTGCATGTTTTAGCTGGCAGCCCTGGCATGACCATATTGTATTGTTAAAAATTATTTCTTTATTCTGCACAAACAAAATTATATTTTGGAAGTTAATCTAGTATCAAAAATGTTCTGATTCATACACATTGAGAGGGTACTTAAGGATGCGCCAGTACTTGAATAAGGCTTTTTTTCCTCCATCATGAGCTATATTCTAGGACCTTGCATTGTGAGTGTTTTGTTTCAGCTTGTTGGAGCTTGTTCATATAGTGACATCTCTAGATAAACCCGAGAAAAAGAAAGAGTTTTGCTTGTTTTGTGGGTGTTTTTCTGAGGACTGTGTGTCATGCTGAATCGGAATGCTTTTGATACTAGATTAACTTCCAAAATATAATTTTTTTTTCATATATTTATTTTGTTTATGCAAAATAAAGAAATGATTTTTAACTATACAAAAGCTGCAATTATTATTTTAAAAAATTTTCATTGGGTTTAACATTGACGAAAATCTAATGCAAAGTGACACACAATGGAGAAAAATTTCAGTGGGGTTAATATATTTTTCATACATGATCAGTTATCCGAACAACCCCAGTCCCGAATTGCTTTGGATAATCGATGCTCTACTGAATTTATTAATGCTTAAATTATTTACATTATTCAAGAAGTCTATCAATAATTTGCACAAGTAAATTTTCTATTAGGGTCTTCATCCACGAATTCTTACCGAAGGCTTTGATTTAGCAAAAACTAAAGCATTGGAAGTTTTGGATCAAATGAAAATTACTCAAGAAATGGATAGAGACATGCTAGTAAATGTTGCAAGAACATCGCTTCGCACTAAAGTGCATACTGAATTGGCTGATCATTTAACTGAGGTATATAGTTAGATAAGTTTTTTTAAATTTTACAGAACACTTGTATAAAAATATAGAAAAAATTTATTTTTTTATAATATGCAATATATGAAGAGAGTATTTTTGTGGAGAAAATTGATGTTGAATTTCAACTGAAACATAGCTTGTATTTTGAATATGGACTATTTTTTGAGCAATATCTTTTTAGTTAATTTCATGTAATCATCTTAAGATTTGTTTTTGTATATTTCTAATATAGTCTTTAAATTAATGTCACTTAAGAGAAATAAGTAATTTACAATATTATATTTTATTGTACCAGTTATATATCATCAAAAAGTGTTTGGATTTAAAACTGAAAAGTTATGTACTAATGTTAAGGATCTGGGTTTGAATTCTATCTGTACAGTACAAGTTAAGATATTGTTTCCTTTGTTTATGGTCTTATTTTACTGCATATCAGATTTGCCTGAAGTGGCAAAATTGTACAATCTTCATATGCTGGTGCCTTGCATTAATATATCATCAACCTAAAATATTTATTTCGACAGACTTTAACCCATTATCCCATGTAGTAACAATAATTTTCTGCAACAAGTTTTTAATTTTTTACCAAATTAAGTTAGTGTGACCTTGAATGTTTATCTCCATAAGATTATCTAGAGTCAGAGTACTCCAGGTTATTTTAATTTTCGTATGTTTCAGGCTGTATTTTATGCCTGAAAATGACAGAATAATAATTTTTCTGACAAATATATTTGCTTAATTTACTGCTGTTTTTATGCATTCACACCAAAATGAATATGTAACAGTAAATTAAGCAAATAGTCATTGTCAAGTGAAATGTTTTGATGTTGAAAGTATTGTGTATAAACTTTGAGATGAGTTTGAGAATTTCCAGAGAAAATCTATCAAATATCTTTTATAGATTTTCTATCTGAACATTTATTACATGAATATAAAGAAATTTGAATCTCCAAATTTTCTGTTTTGATAAGTGATTTAGAACTATGAACTGTTCAGTTTGTTCATTATGCTTTTGTCCACTTACAAAGTTCATTTTTATACTTAAATAATTGTTATATCATGCATTTGAGCTACCATGTATAACAGTTGCTCAACTGTTTAACTACATAAGCATCATGGGACAAGTGCCATATTTATTAGTACTACTTTTGAGGTGATTCATAAATTTATGCATTTGTATGTTTTGTACTCTGCTTCTTAAATAGTATAGTAATCATATAATTTGAGATGATGTCAAATATTTACCATACATTTTTCAGGAACAAAGTGTAAATAAATATACTGTAAGTATATTAAATAGTTCCTCTCTCTTTTGTGCTATTTCTTGGTCTAAAAAATTATTTTCTATATTTAACTTTGCAATGTTTATCAGCAAAAAAAGCTTTTTCAAAGTAGCACTGCAATAAGAACTTTGAATGAATTTCTTCTGGATTGGAAACTTATAATTTTTCCCATAAGAAATAATTAAAATGTTTCAATCACTTCACAAATATTTACCATACATTTTTCAGGAACAAAGTGTAAATAAATATACTGTAAGTATATTAAATAGTTCCTCTCTCTTTTGTGCTATTTCTTGGTATAAATACTATAATATTGTTATAGAAATATTTATTGTAACACTTTAATTTTCTAACTTTTTAATAATTACTAAATTGTTGCTGTATCTATTTTAAATACAAATATTCCAATTATAGGTGTGTGTTGATGCTGTCTTAGCTATTCAACAACCAAATACACCAATTGATTTGCATATGGTTGAGATCATGGAAATGCAACACAAAACTGAACAAGATACTTCTCTTATTCGTGGTCTAGTTATGGATCATGGTGCACGTCATCCAGACATGAAGAAGCTTGTTCGAAATGCATACATTTTAACTTGTAATGTCTCTCTAGAATATGAGAAGAGGTAAGAGAATGCAATTCAGATTATCTTGTTTAAGTATTTAATTTTAAGCATTGTATATAAATATTGCTGTGTTTTGAATTTGTTTTTAGTGAAGTGAATTCAGGATTTTTTTATAAGTCTGCTGAAGAAAGAGAGAAGTTAGTGAAAGCTGAACGTCAGTTTATTGAAAATCGTGTTTACAAAATAATTGAATTGAAGAAAAAAGTTTGTGATGGAACTGATAAAAATTTTGTTGTGATAAATCAAAAGGTATAGTTAATATTTCTTCTAACAAATGATTCAAATTAACTTATAGTAAAAATAAAGTTTAAAAACCTATTCAGTGGGATTAGAAATTTTAATTAAAATATATAAAAATACAAGGAAAAATATCTCAGCATGTTCCAAATTAAGTTCAATGAAATATTTAAGTTAACTATTGTGCTCTCTATTATTATTTTTTAGTTTTTATTTATTTTTTAAGACATCTTTGTGTAAAGAAAGGTTGGCACTTGTCAGAGATGTCAGAGAAATTAATGTTCTTACAAAATTTATTTTTCATTTTCTAACATACTGAACTTAATTGCATCAAGTAAAACTTCATCTTGTAAAAGTACCTAAGGTTTTCAAAACTTTATTTGTTTATTAAAGCACCTGTTCAGTCTATTAGCTCAAATATTTCAATTTTCAAGAAAAAGTTAACAGTTTGTCAAAACTGCTTTTGAATATGTTGTTATTCTAGCTTCTTGTTCTTTTACCTTTTTAGGTTCAGATTCAGATTCTTAGCTTAGAATATTGCTTTTTTGGAGAAAGTGCCATATTACAGATTAGTACTTAATCTCAAATATAACAAGGTAAAGGACAAGAAGTGACGATGGGTATAATACCCAAAATGCATTTTCTTGTAACTAATATCAAGAAAGTCTAATTTCGTTCCTGTTGTCTCCAATGTTTCCTGTATGATAAGTCTAAAAAGTAATACTCTATGCTTTTGAATGTATTTACATGAATATTTGATAAGTTTTCATTGTCGTGATGTAGAATAAATTTTTAAAAGTTTAATATACCTAGACATTGTTTGATGTTGAGTTTAATAGTACATAAGTGGTGACTGTTGGAAGACAATAGGCTCATGTCATTCTTATTTAGTAATTGTCATTTTTATTGTTCTTTCATACATGTGATATGCTTAATGTTAAGTAGATGACAAAATCATTTTAAAATATTTGAACGTTAACGTGTTACTTGCAAAAATGATAGTTTCTTGTATTTCAATGTAACCAGTTTTTAAATTATTCTCACTATATAATTTTTAAAATGTTACATTCAATAAAACTCCTGTTGCAACCATAAAAGACCAAAAAGTTGATTTTTTTTTTAAAAGAAAATTTAGCATAATATTGATACAACAAGCTAATCAAAGGAACAGTCCTCACAGGGAAGTTTTTCTGTATGAGTCATAGGCTATATCACTTTCATGTTATGGTGAAAGCAATGACTAAATAATAAATCTTATAATTATAATTGAATTAAACTATTTTTTTATAATTGTTCTTAAATTAAAATAAGTTAATTTGGGGAAGGAAAATACTGTACTGATCTGAATGCAGGTTTATTTCCAGTATTGGAATCCTTACTACTTGAAAAAATTAGAACTTGAATATAAGCTGGTCTTTCATTGTTAATTTTATTTGCATACAAAAAGTTAGCAATTTGCATTAAGAAAATTTGGAGTCATTGAAACAATACTCTATCACTTCATTTTTATTCCTGTTTCATTGCCATTGTTGGACAGAAGAGAGTTAGTCAAGTTGTTGGTAACCTCTTAAAGCCCTTTATAATTGTTTTCAACAGTCTTTCATAAGTCTGTTCTCATTATTTTTTATCTATGTGATTATGAAAATTAGTCAATTTAATTACATTTTTCTTTTCAAAATTATATTAGTTGGAAATAAATATTTTTTGAATTTGATTTCCAGATATTTACAATAATCATAATTAAACTTTTATTTATATTTATAAATATAATAATCATAAATGAATTTTTGATTGCTTTTGTGGTAATCTTTGCAAATCATACCTAGTCAATTGGAAAATTGTATTGAAAGGGTTTGTTTTATAGAAAGAAATATATGCATTGGATAACTATATCATAAATGACAAATTGTAACTTATTGCTACTTTTCTGTCAATAAAAATTAGTACATTGTCTTGATTTTTCTCTATGTATGGATAGTAGGCTTCCTCTTCCTTATGTATTTTGTGTGTACTTCAGAAAGCCTATTTGCAATTTTATGACTATTGAAAATGAAATGTGAAAATGCAACACAATAAATAAATAAATACAAGGCTTTGAAATTTCCCCCTCCTTGAAAACTGAAAAAAACATCACCTAATATGTAGGCCAATACAGTATTATTCTGCTGCTGCTATGTATTATTTTCAAAAAAATGCATGGATAGGATTTGTATAAAATTGGAAATGGAAAACAATATTAAAAGTGATTGAATTAAATTATATCATCAAATTTACTGAACTTCAAATGAACATCATTTTGAAGAGTTCAAAATATATATATTTGTAGACGTCTTAAAAACTTCTAGATTTAATTATTTATGAATATTTTAATTAATAAAATTAACTGAAATTTGCTTTAATAGTATATTAAAATATTTAAAATTGAATTTAATAAAACTTATTTTAGATACCAACAAACTAAAATTGATATTTTCTGTGTGATATTTATTTATTTTTTGTGAAAATGTTTGTGTTCAACTGAATGTAATACAATTGTATTTGTTATTTATTACAAATTGTAACTGATTTATTTAATAAGGAGGTAAAACTCTCCTATCCCCCTTGTAACAAGTTAAATTTTAAATACAATAAATTGTTTTTGTAATAAAAATAATAAAACTTTTATTTTAGGGTATTGATCCCATGTCATTAGATCTTCTTGCTAAAGAAGGAATAGTTGCTCTTCGTAGAGCTAAAAGAAGAAATATGGAAAGGTAATAATTATTATTCGTACATTATTCATTTTTGTAAATAAATTTATATATTACTGACAGCAATACATAATTCATTACTAAATTCATTGTTTCAGAATGCTAAAGTATAATATATTAATATTGATTAATTCATTAAATTGCATAAATGAATTTGTTAAACATGAAATATTTTATTCACTGAATTTCAACATATTAAATATTACTTTGTAAATGATTGAGAATTTCCGCATTATTTCAGAAATTTTTCACTTCCTACTTCTAAAACTAAAATGACTGTAGTAAGCTTTATCCTGAGTTATTATGCTTATATTTATTCAATAAATACATTAATCCTTCCATTTATGTAAATTCATTTTAACATTAATTAAAATTTTAAAAAAATTTTCAACCAGCAACCTTATGGAAATAAATGAGTTATATCAAAATTTTTTATTGGTAACATCTTACATAGATGTATATTTAAAAAAACTTCTAACATTTTCTTTCCAAGTTAGCATGAAATAATGTATTTGAGAATATGGAAGAGATCTGTATTTTATTCAGCTTTCCATGGCTCCATTTATGCACAGTAATTGGTTACACAAAAAGAGTGCATAAATTGAGGAATTTCTGTACATTTTTATAGTATCTTCAGTTAAATATTTAAGATATAAAACAATATAACTTTAAATTTTTATAATTGTTAGAAGAGTTATATAATTTTATAACTAATGTTTCTGTATGATTGAAATAATTTAGATTAGTTTTGGCTTGTGGTGGTGTTGCTGTTAATTCCGTAGATGATCTGACACCAGAATATCTTGGAAAAGCAGGATTGGTATATGAACATGTTTTAGGAGAGGAAAAATATACTTTTGTTGAAGAGCTTGAAAATCCTCATTCGGTTACAATCCTTATAAAAGGTCCCAATAAGCATACACTTGTTCAAATCAAAGATGCAGTTCATGATGGACTGAGAGCTGTAAAAAATGCAATTGAAGATGGTAAATATTTAAAAAATTTTTTACATTAATAAAATTCATACTAATAAGAAAATCAGTGTTGCCACAGGAAAAAGTAACAAAAATAAAAAAAAAATAAGTTTAGTATTTTTAGTATCGTATCAGTCTTGAGATCATTAAAAGAGGCAATAAGCAGTTCAAAAAAGTTCTTTATTCTGATAATATTGGTCAACAGTCAAATTAAACAGTCAGAGCTAAGTTCAAGATGATAACTGTAGCTAATTAGCAAGCCAATGTGTAATCTGTTTCATATTACTACCATTAGTTTCTAGTTAGCCAATTAATATCTTGAATTTGTCTCAGGTTTGGAGATTTATTACCAGATTTGACAATGTGGCAATATATTTTTTAAAATCTTTAAAAATACCAGGCTATTCTGTAAAACTAGCCCAGAGATTTAAGTTGTCTAAAACTGAAAAGTTATCATTTTTCATACTTCTTGCTAAAAAGAATAGCCTTGGTTGCATGTGGCAACCCAGTAAAATTTAATTATTACAATAAATTTTACAATTTTATATTTTTATTTAATTACCTTATTTTTCAGGATGTCTAATACCAGGAGCAGGTGCATTTGAAGTAGTTACTAACTCCGTTTTAACTGAATATAAATCTCAGGTAGATGGACGAGTTCAACTTGGTATTCAGGCATTTGCCGATGCCTTATTGATAATTCCCAAAGTTTTGGCAACTAATGCTGGATTTGATCCTCAAGAAGTTAAAGTGAAACTACTTCAAGAATATGCAAGAACCAAACAACCAGTGGGATTAGATATTAATACAGGTTAGTATAATATTTATGTATCTATAACTTTCATATTAAGTTATGAAGATGGATTATGTCAAATATACTTTTAAATAAAGGCTATGTAAAAAATACAATAATTTTGAGAAAATCATATAAAATAATATTAATGAAAAAAAAATTTTTGAAGAGTAAGTTAAATTGATTTAACTTAAACAAAAATAGAATGGAAAAAATGTAACATTATATAATATCAATTGATTTTAATTCAATCAGTGGTCAAAATTTTGTGTAAAACTAAATTCATTTTTAAGAAAAAAAATGTAAATGTGACAAAATTATTTATATTTTATGCATTTATGTAATAGTAATCATTAGAGATTATTTTTGTAATTATGTTGATGATTAGAACAACTACTGTATATACTTTAATTATTACATGCTATAAAAATGATTGTAGGATTAATAGACTTGCCTTGAAGTACTATAGTTTAACTCACTTTATTTTCTTAACTAAAATCTTGGGAGGTGGCTAAATGGTCCTCACTGCCTGAGTTTGCAACTTGGAGCAAATTTCTCATATTACTGTTAGTGTTCCCATAATAATTCAATTATACACATGTACACAAATAAGAACTACTTGAAATATCATTAGTCATTAAGAATTTTAAAAATAAAGAACACTAAATAATTTTTACTTTAAATTTTATACTGTACTTTTCTTTTATAAAGTTATTTATAACCATTGCTTAGTTTTTTTGAAACTTAAACTGGAAAAAATGAACATCTGTTAATGCATATAGCTTGTTTGGTTTTATGTACATCATCAAGTTTCTAGATTATCTGAAAGACCTGGGGCCTTATTCTGGTCACTTGTCTCTTCTTTCATCGATGAATGACGTCAAAGTGAGAGACGAAATTAGTCTCTCAGACAGTGGCAATTCTGGTCGTTTGTAACGATCTCATCTTTGTCAATGACGTCACGATACTACTGGGTTGATTATACATGTTTGGGTTATCTGCACGTGCAACACGGTATAGAATTTTAACTAATAAAATTGTAAAATTTTCAAAAATGCAGAGTACGTAATCTTAGATCACATGTTCAGATAAAGCATGTAATTTCGACAAAGTTATGTTTTTTGTTTTATAACATTTTTACTGATTGTAATGTCAATTTGTCTCTTAACAAATAAAAATTTTAATATCCTAAATTAGAAAGGCACGCATACTTAGTTAAGGAGAAATTAGATGGTAATATTTTGAAAAATATCTGTGTAAGTAAGATTAACATCATATTCGATAGTTCAGTAATTGATGTAGCATAATTAAAAAAGAAAAAAATGGGATCAGTGGCGTTTCCGAGTAGGCACTGAAAAAAATCAGAAGAATTTTCTCTCTCAAAATATTCTTTCCCGAGATAGAGAACATTCTGTAATATGATTGTACAGCACGCGTAGCATCCAGTCGTCCATATTGGATATAACAAAATTGAGGCAAAAGACGATAGACTGGTCAAAAGACAACTATCTGCTCATCTCTGATAAACAAGAGAAGCGAAGAGAGAAAAAATTGTTCAGAATCGCGTTTAGAGAGACTACGATCTCTTGAGACCTAAACAAATTATTAACCAATCAGTGATCGGCTTACGAGAGACGATGACCAGAATATGTCTCCTGGTCCAGTTTTGATAATCTAGCTTTTGCCTGTCTAAATTAACATGTGATTAATAAGCAGCTAAACATTTTCAGTCTACATGTAATTTTGCTAATGGCCTAAAAATTTTGTTCTTGTGTGTGTTCATGATTTTGGCATCCTTAATAACCAGATATGTTGACTATACATTTTAAAAATGATGCTGGAGTTTTGTTCATATTGACGTTACAAAAGAAGTAATAATTTATATATTTTTTTAAACAGGTGAAGCAATCATTCCGGCAGATGTAGGAATTTTAGACAATTATAGAGTGAAGAGACAGTTACTAAACTCATGGTAACTATAATTTTAATGGTTTTCATTTCTGTTTTTAATTTAATTGAAATTGTTTTGCTGTCCTTTTTTAATAGATTACTATAACATTATCAACTTTAGTTCATAAACACAGTATTTTGAGTTAAAAAGATGTATAAAAATCACTATAATTCCTTAAATTTTGGAATGAAAGGGGAAGTGATTTTCAGTTTATTTTTGAATTTGAGATAATTATTCACTCAAATTTTCTTATAACTTTAAAAAGTAACTGACCAAGTGTTGTTTTGAAATTGAAATTATTTATTTGCGTAGAAGGCTTTCGCCTGTTACAAGGGCGTTTTTAAAAACACATATTAACATCACATATATTATTATTTTAACAACTTTGATTTTTCTATTTATTAATCTATAGAATTATATTAATAATATATCACAATTATCATTTAATTAGTTGTTTAACGTAGTTATATAACATATAAGTCGTGTTTATATTAGCTCTGTCAAATGTTTTATACATTTCCAACTCACTAGTACATCTAGCCAGTGGCCCAATCTGGAGCCTTTGAAATTTATCCTTTTCATTACAATATTCACATATAATATGGACTTTAGATAAATTTTTGGTNTTAACTTCCAAAATATAATTTTTTTTTTTCATATATTTATTTTGTTTATGCAAAATAAAGAAATGATTTTTAACTATACAAAAGCTGCAATTATTATTTTAAAAAATTTTCATTGGGTTTAACATTGACGAAAATCTAATGCAAAGTGACACACAATGGAGAAAAATTTCAGTGGGGTTAATATATTTTTCATACATGATCAGTTATCCGAACAACCCCAGTCCCGAATTGCTTTGGATAATCGATGCTCTACTGAATTTATTAATGCTTAAATTATTTACATTATTCAAGAAGTCTATCAATAATTTACACAAGTAAATTTTCTATTAGGGTCTTCATCCACGAATTCTTACCGAAGGCTTTGATTTAGCAAAAACTAAAGCATTGGAAGTTTTGGATCAAATGAAAATTACTCAAGAAATGGATAGAGACATGCTAGTAAATGTTGCAAGAACATCGCTTCGCACTAAAGTGCATACTGAATTGGCTGATCATTTAACTGAGGTATATAGTTAGATAAGTTTTTTTAAATTTTACAGAACACTTGTATAAAAATATAGAAAAAATTTATTTTTTTATAATATGCAATATATGAAGAGAGTATTTTTGTGGAGAAAATTGATGTTGAATTTCAACTGAAACATAGCTTGTATTTTGAATATGGACTATTTTTTGAGCAATATCTTTTTAGTTAATTTCATGTAATCATCTTAAGATTTGTTTTTGTATATTTCTAATATAGTCTTTAAATTAATGTCACTTAAGAGAAATAAGTAATTTACAATATTATATTTTATTGTACCAGTTATATATCATCAAAAAGTGTTTGGATTTAAAACTGAAAAGTTATGTACTAATGTTAAGGATCTGGGTTTGAATTCTATCTGTACAGTACAAGTTAAGATATTGTTTCCTTTGTTTATGGTCTTATTTTACTGCATATCAGATTTGCCTGAAGTGGCAAAATTGTACAATCTTCATATGCTGGTGCCTTGCATTAATATATCATCAACCTAAAATATTTATTTCGACAGACTTTAACCCATTATCCCATGTAGTAACAATAATTTTCTGCAACAAGTTTTTAATTTTTTACCAAATTAAGTTAGTGTGACCTTGAATGTTTATCTCCATAAGATTATCTAGAGTCAGAGTACTCCAGGTTATTTTAATTTTCGTATGTTTCAGGCTGTATTTTATGCCTGAAAATGACAGAATAATAATTTTTCTGACAAATATATTTGCTTAATTTACTGCTGTGTTTATGCATTCACACCAAAATGAATATGTAACAGTAAATTAAGCAAATAGTCATTGTCAAGTGAAATGTTTTGATGTTGAAAGTATTGTGTATAAACTTTGAGATGAGTTTGAGAATTTCCAGAGAAAATCTATCAAATATCTTTTATAGATTTTCTATCTGAACATTTATTACATGAATATAAAGAAATTTGAATCTCCAAATTTTCTGTTTTGATAAGTGATTTAGAACTATGAACTGTTCAGTTTGTTCATTATGCTTTTGTCCACTTACAAAGTTCATTTTTATACTTAAATAATTGTTATATCATGCATTTGAGCTACCATGTATAACAGTTGCTCAACTGTTTAACTACATAAGCATCATGGGACAAGTGCCATATTTATTAGTACTACTTTTGAGGTGATTCATAAATTTATGCATTTGTATGTTTTGTACTCTGCTTCTTAAATAGTATAGTAATCATATAATTTGAGATGATGTGAAATTTTGATAACGATGGCAATTATATATACGTACATATTGTCTTTCATAAAATAACGTTTCATATTACATTTCAAAACTTCTGTTTTATTACATAAGATTAATTAATCTAAAAAATTATTTTCTATATTTAACTTTGCAATGTTTATCAGCAAAAAAAGCTNTCTAAATTTACGAATACATGTACTGTAAATACAGTACATACTTGTAAATGTATATATTTTAATATGATTTTATGTGCTTTAAACGTTTTTCTAGTGATATTATGACTTCAATATTTGTGGCGGACAGACATTAAGTTGAATAAAATGACTTAAACTTGATTTTTATTTTTTCATATACTTTTTTGACAAACGACGTATAATTGGGAACGACGTAAGTCGAGGTACACCTGTATATTCTATCAGCTTTTCTTGCTTCTCCAAAAACAAAAAACACAGCCAGATTTTCAGAGCGTTTTATTTTAATTCACTTTCCCAATTCTTTATGAAAACTTAAAATCACAAATATTGATATAAGTATAGCTTCAACAATTACTTAAATATAAACTTTCTTTAATTATAATGACAAAAATTTAACTTTTTTTAGAGAAATGACAAGTGGATGTATCCATGGTTGTTTTTAGCACTTTGCTTCATTATCGGAGAAATTGTCTCACCCATTTATGCACTGGTTCAAGTAAGTTAATGAATTACAAATTAGTTTATAAGAATTTCTTACTTTCACATATAAATTTGTTATTAATATCTCTTAAAATAATATTTATTAATACAATAAATTCAGGAAAACATCCTTTATGGAATTGCTAATATACCAGATCCAATTATTGGTGTGAGTATATACTTAATTCTTTTGCTACATTATTTCTTTATAAAATAACAAAATAAATTTCTTCAAATTTACAGACATTTTGTTTCATGTGTGTTTATTCGGAGTTCAGAGTTATTCAAAAGGCTAAAAATGATACTCCTAAAGATACTGCCAAAGATCCTGAAATCTCACAACAGGCAGAATCTGCTCAAGTAGAGTCTATTCAAGTAGAACCTGCTCAAGAAGCAACAGAAACTGGTTAATTACAATATAAATTTCTTATGAAATGAACTTTTATTATTTTCAATTAATTTAAAAACTTATTGTATATTCTTATCATAAAAAATGTTTTGAACAGTAAAGTTCATTAAATAAAATTTGTTCTTGTTAAACTAATAAAAGTTTACTTAACAGTATTTCCTTTCATGTAACATAATTTAATGAAAAAAATATTGAAATTATTTTAAAAAAATGATGTGTATGTTTTATATTCGTCTAAAAATACATCAAATTCTCATGCAAATTTATACTCATTTAATTTTTAACTTCTCCCTGTGGGCACTAAGACAGCCTTTTTTTCATAGCCATCTTGGGTTTGACCATGCCCATAATAAGAGCAATTGGAAGCCTTAACTGCCTTGGCCATCCAGTTTAGTTTTGAAATTCTGAGAAATGAATTTAATTTCTGACATTGTTATTAAGCTTTTAATAAGAGACTTTACTTTGTTTAATTTTATATTAAAAATGAAGAAAAATCAGTGAAGGCATGAATAGAAATCAATGATCTTTTAATATACAATTTGAAATAGAAATAAATGTTTCTTAATTGTAAAAGATTCTATCAAAGTTGTTGAAATTTGATAGCAATTAGAAACATTTCACTTTTAAAGTTCAATATTTGAAATTTATTTAATGTTATCTATCTGATGATAAAGGGAGATGCTTCAAAAGTGTTTAGAAGTTTAATTCATGAATTTCTTTACCATCGTTAGTTTGGATGTTGAAGATATATTGAATCTGTTGTATGTTTTAAGCAAAGGTTTTGAATTTAATCAGCAAAGTTATGACTTACTTCATATTTACAAAAGTATCACTTTTGTATATAAGATAATATTGTCAACCAATTGAAACATGCAGAGTTAAAACATTATATTTTATAATTATTCACATTATATTTTACATACTTCCTTTTTCACAGCAATATCATATTGTTTTCTGTTTGTATCCTTGTCTACTTGGATGTAGACAAGGACTCTTATCAACAAAAATTGATAAGAGTAAGGACATGAGGTAAAAATAATCATATTAATTATTTGAGAGAAATCGGTTCAAGATCATTTATGGTTGTCATTTCCTTAAATTCACCCAATCAGAAATGAAATACAATATTTTAGTAAATAAAAAAATTGCTAATTATGTATTGTTGACTGAATTTTATGCTTCCTGAAATAACAGATTTCAGAGTCAACTAAATCCACATGTTCTGAGGCTTCTGTTGGAGTGTAAATGCAGTATTTCAGATCATCATTTAGAAGATTGTCTAGTTATCTGCATTCCTTCAGATGATTTTATGTAACTCTGTATTCTGAGTGTGAAATCATCAAGTCTTTAAGAATTATGATTTCTGAAGTGTTGTGAATTACTCGGTGTTATGGCTTATGGCACTTAAATTTTCATTTATTTTGTTTTTCTGTGTATTAATAAATCAACCCTGGACTTCATAACAACCATAACAGGAATTTAACACTTGTTAACACATTGACTGTCCTTTTATGGAGAAATGTACCTTATTTTATGGAGCTGTGCCTTATTTGTTGAGTAAGAAACACCAAAAACTTATATGATGCTTATGAGAGGAGTCGAAACACTTTATGCCAACCCTTCTCATGAGTGTCGTAAATCTTTATATGCCATATAAA